TGAAGTGGCTTTCTATTTTACACATTCCTAATTGGACATAATAGTCTGAGCTCAGTTCCAAAGAGTTTTAAAGCACACAATTTTGAATTTAACCAGCAATGTAATCTGATTGTTCTTACAAAATACCTTAAATTTGTGGTACTTAAATTCTTAGAGAATTGCCTTAAGGAAATATGGGCCATCGATTTTTAGTAGTGTAAAATCGATTTTGTATTAGGTTCTGCAAACAGAGAGCTGCATGTACTATTTATTATTCCCCTTGGGCCCTCCTAGGACCACCAATACTGAAGGTTCTGGAAATACAGAAGTGTGTCATGATTGAGAGCTCACACACTAGAGCCAGAACACCTGAGGGGTTGCATTCTAGCTCTAACACTTTCTAAACATGTCATCTTAGGCAAGTTTCCTTCGTGTGTGTGTGTGTGTGTGTGTGTGTGTGTACGCACACGCCTTAGTTTTTCTGTCCCAATCAGTATAGTAAGAGTACCTACTGACAAGGTTGTGTGAAGGTTTAGAGCTGTTAATTTTAAAGCACTTGTAACAGAGTCTGGCACAAAATCAGCAATCAGTAAACATTAGATATTATGAAACTTCCAGGTTTTTGAAACTTAGCCTATTTACTAGATTGATAAAACTATTCTCTATTCAGGTTCTAAAAGCAGAAATATTGATGTTGCTCCTGAGCATATCTTACTGTATTTTAAGGAAACAAATAAACATGAAAATAGACTTCTTTTCCTTTGCTACAAGAATAAGAATTTTGTTTCTCATTTCTCCCCACATCCTACTTAGAGACAGCTTTCAGCCCCAGTGCTCTGGACTCGGGTTTCCTGAGTATGACTCCTGGCTACACCACACCCTTGATGCGACCTGGAACACACTGCTTATGTCTTCTGCCTCTGTAAGAGGGGGATCGCAAAAGTAGTTTCCTTTCCTAGTGTTTTTTTATTAGAACTTAACGAGTGAAGCCATCTGAAGTATCTGAAGCTGTGAATGACATAGTCAGTAAACACTCCATAAAAGTTAGCCGTCCTTATCATTCCGATTTTCTTTTTTTCTGAAACTCTGGTTTCTTATTTGCTCGATTATGACTTATCTTTTAAAAAGTCCTGGAGGTGTGTGTATTACAGAACAGAAAAGGATTCTGGCTATCTTAAGGCCAAAGCAGCTTTTCTGGACAGTTATGGTGTGAATCACCACATGGGAGGCCCAGCTGGAGGGCCAGTGTCAGAGAGGGCAGCTAAAGGACCTTAGCGACACCAGCGACGCGGGTGGCAAGAGGTGACCTCATGGTTCTTTGGTCTGTTACAGTGTCCTGTGTGCACTGCAGCTGGAATCAGTCAGCTCCAACCAATTTCCTGTCCTTGTCGTAGTCCACTCAGGATGTAGTGACCTGAGAGAAAAACGGTTCGATTGGCCCTGTGGGGACCCTGAGCCCAACCCTTGCTAAAGGCAGGATGGTCATCTCGAATGGGAGCCTTATCAGTGCTGTTCACAACGAGGGTGCAGTCAGTCCCCAAAAGGCAGCTGGAATTTGTTACTTTAAACAAAGGCGACGTGGTAACTAGGTGGTCCCAAACCAACAGCCCTAGTGCAATGCGTTTTCTTAGCTATCTCAATGATTGTTTTAATAAAAAATAAATAAAGGTATTAAAAAACAAGGTCACCAGCACTTAATTATAAAATAAATATTGGTATCAAATTCTGAGAATTGGGCTCTAGGCCCAGCCCTTTCTCACTGAGTTTATCACAACTTTTTGGGTCCTGGTTTCCTATTTCATAAGGTGATTTTAATTTCTTTTAAATCTACCCTTAAGTGTAAACATTAAATGGCCCCTAAGGATAGTTCTAGCAGTAAAACCTTAAGGTATCCTGGGTGTCATTTTAAGTGTGGGAGCCTATATTGCTTTTAAACATGTATACAAACATACCCCATTTAGTCCAGTTTTCAAACTCAAGTGATCTACGGGAATATATGCAAACCAAAGTTTAAACCTTTAAGTTTGACTCAGAATGCCTTAATAACTATTAGTATTTTTTAGCTTATATTAAGTCAAGAAAGATAAGATGTATATTTGAGAAGGTAAAGAGGTAATGATGTCATCATTGTTTAAGAGAAGAAAATAATTTCAGTTTAAATGGAATTAATTATAAATCACTTCATTTCCAGTTATTTTTCCCTTATGATTAAAGGACTATGGATATTTATTATCAGAAATGATTTTATATTTGTTCTAAGGTAGTATATATATTTTTAACGCTTTAGGTATAAACTCCTGAAGTAATGAAATACTTTATGTATAAACTACGAGTAATATCTTATTGCTTCCTGTTAGCAGACCCCTTCACCAGCTCGGCTAGATGAACAAAACTTTGTAATACTATATTTTTGAAGACTGAAGAATCAATTCAGATGTCTCTGGAAGTATAGCTGTTTTGTTTCAAAGTGGTTGTTTTTAAACAGTATTTACTTTTAAAAAAATGTTAACCTGAATCAGGTTACTAATTAAAAACAATAGTTAGATGCTTCTTTATTACTATAATTACATATAAATGTGCTGTTTAGTATGACTCAATATAGAGTAAATAGGTAGTTTAATTGACAATCACTTCAAAATGTGTGAGGTTAATTGCATGTCTCTTACCTGAAAACTTTCTAAGCCATAATGCCAAGATTGCTTATTTACACTGTCTATTAACAGGAGACAAAATCTACTGTCTGCAATTCTGACTAAGATAATGAAAGAACATTAATTCAAGGTTTTAAATTCAAATATAGACAGGATTTCTAAGAAAACCTTTAATATTTCTAATAAAATCTTAAGGAATTCTGATACTTATATACTAAATTATTTTATCTTTATCATTTAAAAATCATACTTATGTATTTAGGAGATTTAGAGATAAGTAGGGAATAAGTCGGCCATGAGACTGATGATCACTAACCAAGCATGTCTCAACCATGATGCCTTCTTAAACAGCAACCTGCCATCCACACAAATATTGAGTATAGAAATGGTTTAGTTTCTCTCAATATTTTTAAGAAGAAATGAGAATATTTTGCTGAAGGAAAAAGCATGGTGATGATGGTGATGATAACAGTAACAATTAGTACTTATTGAGTGTCAGGTACTATTCTCATTCCTTCCTATGTGAATTCATTTCAGCCTCATGTATATTTTGAGATAGGAACTCTTGGTGTCTGCATTTCATAGATGGGGAAGCAAGCACACAGAGGTTAAGTGACTTATCTAAGGTTCACAGCTAATTAGATCAAAATAGGATTTGAAACAGGGAGGCTGGTTCCACAGTCCCTGCTTTAAACCAGCATGTTAAACGAAAGATAGGTAAAATTTGTATTGCTTAATCTCATTGTCAGCTGTTTTTAATGCTCCATTTGAGACTAATATTCAAAGTTTCATCAATACTAGTTACTTTTTGGCTGCTTACTCACCAGGTATACTGGGTTGACTGAAATTTCCCATGTGTTAGTTGAAGGAGATTGGTGTATTTTTAAACCCACAAGAAAATATTATTAGTTGTTAGGCATTTGTCTTAATTAATAAATCCATAATTTCCATGATAACTGAGGTCATAGTTCTCACTTATACTACTGCTCTATAGTAGCTAACGCTATCCCATATCTATAACATTAATAAATACTAAATCTATATTGTAACTTTACATTTGCTGAATTTTCACTAGGGAAATCTGGCTTTTAAAAAAGACCTATTAAAAGATGAAGATATTTCAAGGAAAGTTGGTCTGATTCTGCACATTGGAAGATTCAAAATCAAACTGATATTACAAGGACCCAACTCAAAATCAGGAGTGCAGGACTACCTTTGTGTAATTGTCTTGGGTCACTATAGCATTTACCATAGTTAGCTATTATAGTTATACACAAACTGCCCTATAACATTAATATAAATCTAAATTAATGGACTAAGAATAGGATGAAACTTCTGTGACTTTTTCCAAATTACTTAGCACTCTGATCTTTGTTTCCTTAACTCTAACATGGAAGTAATATTTCTTTTGGATTGTCACAGCTCCATGAGCTTGTACTTATAATACTTCGGTTAGTTGCACCATTCACTCTTAAAAAGTGAGATTCCTCCAATCTGCTATCTATGTTCTGAAATATAAAATTGCCTGCATTTTTCCATCTTTCTTTCCAGTGTTTAGACTTACAGATGCATAGGCTTTTAAAAAATTGCTCAGTTTTACTAAACCATATTAAAAATTATCTTTCATAACACTTCCTTGGAGGACAAATTAAGAAAACGAATTTATATGAATTTTTTATTGTGTTGATGACCTGAATTAAGTGAATGTAAGTTGCATTTTCTATTTAAAATATGTACTGTCTTGTCGAAACTTTTAAAATTGTGGCTCCCTTAAATGATGCTTTTTCAGAGATATGGCATTTTGAACTGCAAAGAGAATTGAGTTGATTTTATGTGCCTTAAAAAGCCTGAGATATTCACAGATGTAATCAAATAAGAGAAAATAAATGTATATGCCACATTTATATAAATATACGTTCTAACATTTCAAATTAAAGTTACCTTAAAATGACATCTAGATAAATTTTTATCTTTAGAAACCTCTTACTGTTTCAAGATCTGAATCTACATGAAGTTTCAATGTTCATATGTTTTATTTTCTTTTTAACCACGTACTTCTGAGCCACACCCCTTGGTTGCTGTAGTAATACCTTAGATACTGCAGTGTATTGCTCCCTCCCTCAGCTACAGTTAAGTCGTGGCTTTAGGTTTCTCATTATTTTAAACTCCTTTTAACCATGTTATCAGTTGTGCCATTCCTAACACTGAGCAACATGTGAGAGATGTTACAGATTTTGAGTAGGAGTAAAGACAAGATTACTACTAGATGTTTTCAAATGCTTACATCTTAATTCAGGTGTTTCTGGTGTAACCATGCAACCTCCTGTGGTAAATATGACTGACTGCTCTTTTTTCCTATGCTCTTTTAAGCAAAGTAAAGCAACAGTTCGGCTGAAAGAAGACATGAAAAAGATAGTGGCGGTGCCGCTAACGGAGCAGAGGAATTCTACCTATAAAAAGTTATTTGGCGTCAGTCTCCAAGACCTTCAGCAGCAGGGACTCACAGAGAATGGCATTCCAGCTGTAGTGGGGAATATAGTGGAATACTTGACAAAGAACGGTAAGTCAAGTCTTTTTTTAACTTTTTACAGTTTTCACATACAATAAGAATGTTTCTTTAAGTGAATTACTTCATAACATATGATTAAAATATTTTCTAAAACAACATAATCAGAATATCAAGTTATTGGGTAATATACTTTTCCCTTTCAAAAGGACATTAAGATCTGGCTGGGTGGCTCAGTTGATTAGAGCATTGTCCCAATACACCAAGGTTGTGGGTTTGATTCCTGGTCAGGGTACATATAAGAATCAACCAGTGAGTGCATAAATAAGTAGAACAACAAATTGGTCTCTCTCTCTCTCTCTCTCTCTCTCTAAAATCAATAAACAAAAAATTTTTTAAAGGACATTAAGAGTATTATTACTACTGAGCATTATTTTGACCTTACTAGTTTACCATGGAACAATCACTTTATTTATTGAGGTTTCTGGTTTGGAATGAATTCTAGTTTTAAGTGCTAAAATACTGTTCTAACATGAATAGTGTGTTTTCTCAATTCATTACATTTCAATTAATAGTCAGTAGTTTTTAAAGTACTAAAGAACACTTTTTGGGTTCTCTGGCAGCTAAGGTCGGTCATGAGTTTATCAGATGTCTTGATTGTCTTCATAACACTCAGTGGACATACCAAAAAATGTATGATGTATAGCCTACAATGGAGGTGTCATTTACTTTTGGAGTGATAAAATTAAACATGTAAAACCACTGAAGAATAACAGTATATTGTGTGATAAAAAGATATATCTCTTCATTATTGAGAGCTATGTTGCCTTACAGGGTTTTGGGGTTTTTTTTACAATTTTATTTAAAACCTGGATAATTTGAAAAAATTATTTCATGTTCCCTACATTCATGCTTTCAAAGGAGAACAATATGATAGGAGAATGGCAAACTATATAATATCAATATACTTTAAAAGATTTGGAAGGGAAATATTCTGAGGAAACTTAGAATTTTCATCATTTTCTATACTGAAACAGACTTTCTATAGTAAAACAAGATTAATTGTAGAATAGAATTCAAAATTTGTGAGGAGTTTTACTCTGGCCAAGTGGCTTAGCCAGTTGGAGCATCATCCCGTATACCAAAAGGTTGCGGGCTTTATCCCTATCGCGACACCAGGACATGTATGGGAGGCAACCAACCAATGTTTCTCTCTCACAGATGTTTCTCTTTCTCTTTCCCTCTCTCCCTCCCTCTCTAAAATCAATAAACATATCCTTGGCTAATGATTTTTTTTTAATTTATGGGGAGTTTTAAAGGTTAAATTTAAGACTTCAAAGAAATTCTGTACTTTGTGCAATTTGCTTCAGGCCCCATATCTTCTCACAACTACAAGTTCATCCATTCTCCCTGCTAAGACATACCCTTTATCAGAAATGCTTGGGAAACACAGTGCATTTGTTCCTCTGTAAGAGTGTGTGTCAGCTTGTCACAGGGACAGTTCATACCTCAGAAGGTTAGGTGTTTTGTCTTAATTGAAAAACAGCTATTTGCTCTTGTAGTTGTTAGGTATGTAGATGGCAGAATGACATTTTGTTCTGAAAGCTAAAGAGGCAGGCTTGCATCTTTGCCTTGTAGACGTTATCTCCTTATTTTTAGGGAAATATAAGCTGGAGAAGGGCAGGATTCCTATAGAACAGCTCTGAATTTGTTTAAGTCCTTTAAAAAGTTAAGCATGAAAGGTTTATATACAACATGGCAGAAAGGTGGGACCTTAACCAACAAGATCTTGAATGTTATTAAGATCAGATGTTGTTAAGTTAGAACTTTGGCAGAACTTATTTACACACTAAGTGGTAAGTGAAACTGTGTCCTATTAATTTAGATACAAATGTATCTCCAGGTAATTCATTTAATTTTTTAAACAGTGTTCTGTATTATTCATTTGGATGCCAAAGTGTGACCACCTGAAATATTTTGGTTTTGGCATAATTGGTGTCCTGATCTTTTTTTCCAATGATGATTGAAAAATATAGCCTCTTGAGGTTAAACTTATGTAAAATCATATTACATTTTTAATATTTAAAAAATGGAGGGGGGGGAAGCAAGGGAAGGAGAAAGTCAAGGAACATATAGCCAGGATTCATGGACAAAACCAAAGTGGGGAAGGATTGAGGGAGGGAGAGGGGGGAGGAGGCAAAGGCAAGTGGTGGGGGGAAGGCAGAGACAAATGTATTTGGAAAAATAAAGAAATAAATTTTAAAAAATGATCAAATCATTAATATACTTATGTGGGTCAAAATACAAGAAGCTATACAGTAAAAAATCTCTCTCTCCAAACGCTGTCCCCTGTTCATTCACATACTCTCCAAGAAACTATACTAATTTCTGATATGTTATGACAAATATATTTGATAAATATATAATCATATATGTTTATGTTCTTTTTCCATTTTAACATAAATATAGCACATCACACACATTGTTTTGAATCTTTTCAAATGTAACAGTACATTTTGGATATTGTTTCATATTGCATAAAAAGAGCTTTACTCATTTAATTCTTTTCTCCCTATGTACTTCTACTTTATGTATCATTTCTTTAAGTGGTCACATACTGATGGGCACTGATTCTTGCCAGTCTTTTGCTGTCTACAAAGAATCTATGATTAAATTTTTTTTGCATAATATGGAAATTTCTTTACACTTGCATTTTTTTTAATTTAGCAATACACTGTATTCTTTTTTAACATGTGTCATTTCAAGCACTATGACTGTATTTCTACAAGTAGACTACTGACTCAAAGGATATGTGCACTTATAATTAACTCTCTAAAAGTTGAACTGGTTTATATTCACACCATCAACATATGAAAATTTTGGTGAAAGTTGAATTAGAGATTGGTTTTCTTCTACTTCTCCTTAGTATATTCTTAGCTATACTCCAATAGGATATATTCAGGTAATTTAAACAGAATGTTTTAGTGGGAAAAACCAGTCATTCTTAACTAGGAATGTGAAATAGAATCACTAGTAGAATCTTTCCAGAATATCCTTGCATGGGTGGTATCTTAGATCTTCTATATCAGAAATTTTGACTGCGCAAGCTGGGAGAGGTTATCTACCCAATATTTTGGAAGGCTATATTGTAATTGCTATTTAGCAACCAGAAGACCCTTATTGTATTTGAAACTGTCATGTTAATAAACCAATGAGCCCATGTAAGTTTGAAGGGTGGTATAAGTATGAGGGCAAGATACTTCAGTTAGTTTTATGTAGTTATTTTGTACTTTTCTTCCAAGTCAACAAATATTTATTGGGCATCTATGAGTAGGCACTCTATCTAGTATGGGATATAAAGAGGATTAGTCATTACAATTTAACCAATTTAACCAATTGTGCTCATACTTTGTTGTTTAATTAAATACAGACATTTAACAATTTGACATGAGGCGAACTCTTACTATAAAGGAATTTTAGGACAGAAAGGATTTAGTAAGGCCTAGCCTACATTAAACAGACTTTAGATTTTTCCTTTAAATAAAACGTATATTTTTCTCTTTTTTTAGATTCAGAGGAAAATCTTGTAAGTTATGAGGCATATCATATTTTGACTATTTGAAAATAACTAATCTTGCTGACAGTGTTACTGGATTCCTTTACTTACTTGAGCATGAAGATACTGTGTGATATGCTATTTAAATAGTGTAGAATTCTGCTCACCACCAGATGTCAGAATATGCTTACATATCGTTAAACTACTTTCGAGTCTACAATGTTCCAATCAGGCATATTCTGACTTCTGACATATTTAGTTATTAATGATGTATTCACACTATTTTGAAATAACTATTTCTTTTAATTTTTAAAAAGATTTTATTTATTTACTTTTATACAGAGGGGAAGGTAGGGAGAAAGAGAGGGAGAGAAACATCGTGTTATGTTTGCCTCTTGTGCACCCCCTGCAGGGACCTGGCCCGCAACGCAGGCATGTGCCCTGACTACGAATCGAACTGGCGCCCCTTTGGTTTGCAGGCTGGTGCTCAATCCACTGAGCCACACCAGCCAGGGCTGAAATAAATATTTCAAAAAAAGTAGAATGATGTAGATGTTAATTGGCTTATATAATTATTTCATTTCTAAACCACGTTATTTATTTTTTAAGAGAAGCACAAGAGGAAATATCCTCTTTTGTTATTTTATTTTGTAGTCCATATATTATATAAAACATAAGAGGAAAATAAACAAATGTATAAAATAAATTGAGGTGTCTGGATGAAAATACATAAGAACTTTGCCTATGTGTTTACAAATTGCTTGATATGTTGTTGGTCTTGCACTTGAGATGTCAAATAAAGATATCTGGCTTGAAACACAGTTGATATGCTGCAAGGTTAAGCCATAGTTAGTTTGATGTTGGCCCAAGAAATGATAGATTTTCTAATCTTATCCTTAAATATTGGCTATAACAAATGCTGACATAGCAAAATGCAAGCTTTTATCATTAGACATCAAGAGGGAAAATGAATGAATGAATGAATGAAACTTACTTCCAAGTCCTCTGAAAGGAGGTGAAAAATAAATATACTGTTTTGTTTTTACCAGTGTTCTCCCCAAAACATTACTCTAGTAAGCATGCAGGAGGAAGCTGTGAGCAGCTATAATAGTAAGATCCAATCTAGAGGTAGGTTCGAGGCCAGAGTAGGAAAGTAGTTGAAGAAGTTCTGCCTGTGCCAATAACTCTTCACAGAATGTCCTTTGTTGCTGGGGGATGAGTGTATGGCCTTTTTTTTTTTTTCCTGATTCAAAAGGGCATTCCCAATTTCAACCTTGCTTAAAAAAGAAAAAGGCAAGCATTTTTGCATATGCTATTAAGAACTGGGATACAAGATAAGGCTGGCATAAAATTATTTAGCAAGCACATGCTAGCAATTCCACTTTGAAAGCTGCCAAACTGTAAAGTCAAAGAAGAAATAAAAAGTTGAAGATGGAGCTGTTATTCCTCAATATAAGGGAACAAGATCTCAAAAAGGAGGGATTAGGTACTCACTTAACTCTATGTGGAGAACATTCTTCTGAGGCTAGGTGGAAGATGAGGAAAAGCATAACCAAAAGACAAACCAGGACATTTGGACACCAAAAGGAGAGGGGAAAAAAGCATTTAGAAGGTAACTTCTTCTGGGTCTGACTGGATAAGTGAATCTAAGGCAACTATGCCAAAGATATGCTACCTATTATACCAGCCGGAAGCTGGTGAAAATATCTCAAGACATTTTAAACCCAGAGAAATGTATAAAAAATGTGTTAACTAAGCAAATGAAAACCAAACCTTCAAAGATAAAATTTCAGATTTGAAATCCAAGATAATTCACTTTTCATTAATTCTGTGCATTAGAAAATAAATTAAAAATAACAAATGTGAAGATTTGTTTCTACTGGGGGAAGGAGGAGAATAAATAGAACTGTTTTCCAATTTGTTCTCCACTATATATACACATACCCACATGCATACACAAACATACAAACACCAAAAATACCCCAAACAAAAAAACCAAGAATCAAAAATCAGAACACCCTCAAGCTGTACCAATATTTTATATTTTGTCCAAAAGAGTAGATCCTGGGAGGAAGTGCAAAATGCAAAATCAAATGACCTAAAAATGCTGAATAAAGAGCATTATTAAGATACAAAATATTTATATCACTGAACTAGTAACAGTTGATGTTCTCTGTATCTATAAAACTTTGCAACCACATAGCTGATCTTAAATCTAGTCCATGCCAGCTTCCAAAAACCAGAAGAAAATTTAGTTTCATTCTTTGATGCCTCATCAAAATTTCCTATGAAATCTGGAACATCATCCTCCTCCTCATCAATGTCTTCTGGTTTTGGTGCTTTGCTATCCAATACTTGCCAAGGGAACAATTAGGCTAACTTCCTAAGACTTGTTAAGCTGTCAGCACCAAGCTGATTTAATATTCCAGGAAGCATTTCTGTGATTGGTTTAGCTTCTGCATAACCAGTAATTGCAAAGGTGTTAACAGAAAGGGAAGCTTGAACTTTAGGATTGTTGAAATGAATAACTGTTCCATCATCTTCAGTCATGTTTACCTCTTCAATACCAGCTGTATTATTCACAGCTAGTTTTTTTAGAGAACTCTGAAGTTTTCTGTCATCAGCTGTAGCTGTTCTATGCGCCACCTTCTTCTTTCCGAGAGCTGTGCCCTTGCTCCCCCCATCTGACCCTGAGGCTGAAGTTTGGCTAACTTTTCTTGATTCTGTCAGTAAATCTGAAGCAGGGAGGGTCCTCCAACACCACCACACGGCAAAACCAAGATGGCTGCCATAAACCATTACACACACACATATATATATGTATTTTATCATCACCGGAGGATGGATATGCTTATGATTTTAGGGAGAGGGGAAGGGAGGAAGAGAGAGAGGGATAGAAACATTAATGTGAGAGAGAAACATCAAACAGTTGCCTCTCGTACGCTCCCAAACCCAGACCAGGAACCAAACCTACAACCTAGGTATGTGCCCTGACTGGAACTGAACCGATAACCTTTTGGTTTATGGGATGACACTCCAACCAGGTGACCCACACTGGCCAGAGCTCTAAACCATTATTAAGTTGGTGTTTTATAATGATTAACCCCTACCTCCTGAAATCAAATCTAACAAAGTTTTAGAAATGTATGAGAAGAATGCCACTGAGCCTTCTAGATACCGCCTTCTTTTGAATGTTTTTTTAATAATCACCACTTCCTAAAACTTTAGAGTAGGAAAATTTAGAGATTATATAGTCTAGTAAGCCTCATGTGGGTGTTGGATATATTACAAATGCATAAGGGGCTCTTAAAACTATAGACTTTTTCCCCCAGAGTGTAAATATAGCCATGACCAGGGTTAAACTTCCCCTGGTTGAAAATCTCTACATATCATAAGAGTTGTTTGGGGGAAAGATGTTTCGGAGGGAAGAGTTGTGCACATAAATGGAACGGAGGCAGGAAAAAAAAATGGTTGAGAAGCATTAACTCTGATTACTTCCATTTATAATTTCTCTCTGCACTAGTAAGGTCCAGTAGAATTGGAAACCTTGAAAACCAAAGCCAGTTTTTGGAGCTGGGTAGTCATTTTGGAATAACTGGAAGTATGCTTATTTGAGGGAAGGGTCAAAAACCTTGTTGAAGAGAAAACCTAAGGTCAGAACTAGAAAAACACTGTAAAGTCTGATCCAGGGGGCATTTGCTGGATCAAAAACAGTCTCGGGAATGGGATAGATAACAGGACTATGATGCAAAATTCCAAATTTTCAAGATTTGGGCAATGACCAGGAATGGCATCCTCTTTTCTCCTTCCCCCCCCCCTCTCAAACCAATAAATAAAATTGAAAAAAAAAATTATACCTAAATAATTCTAATAGGCTTCAATGCTTATGTCATTGCTAATGTTCACCATTAGGTTCTTGAAAGAAGAGTGACAAGTTGAATCCTTGGGTCACTCTATCATAGAAAGGTTATTACACCTCTAACATTCCCTCATGGTCTGGCTCACTTGCTTACTTACATAGTGTTCTATCTCCTCAAACCCAGCACAGTGAGCTGAAAATCATTATCCTCTACCCTAAGCTAGCTACCAGCCCTTACACCCACTTCACCTTATCCTTTATAATGTTTTTTCCCTCAATTTCTTGTCTTCAAACCTTAAAGTTACCTTTAAACCCTTCCTCTCCCCTACTTCCCTTTTGTACTAAGTTGCCAAATCACCTTTATTCTCTCCTTTTCACTCCCTTCCCACCGTAACTTCTGTCTCAATGCCTTACTAGAGTGTAGTCCCTGGAAGGCAAACCCTCTGCCTTCTGCATTCTCTTCTTCTTAGCTAGGTAGGTCTTCCTTAAACCTTGGTCATATTGTGTTCCCCTCCAGTCTGCCCCCCCTGCCCCCACCACCGCCAATTGATAAAGCTCCAATGATGAAGTCTGCAGTCTTTCACTTGGCGTTTATTACCCTATCCCATTTCTTCCATTTATTACCCCATAACTCTTAGACCTAACCACTCCATATTTTCATCTGCCTATCTTTATGCTGTACTGTTTCTGTTTCTTAATTCGTATATTCGTTCTTCTTTGTCAGGGATATATCAAGGTTCTGTGGGTCCTATTGCTTAATCCTTTTGGGGCCCTCTTAAGAAAAAAGAATACAAAATTAAAAATACTAAATTAAGGACAGAGCATTGGAATGGGCCCAAACAAATGAGGGGCCCTGAAGTTTAAACTGCATTAGCTTCACATACATCTGCCTCAGCCCTTTCATCTTGCCTATGTTTTAGCCAAAAATGATGGAGAGGAACCAAAGGTTCCTCCATGGAGCCTTCTATTGACCCCAGTCAGCCAGGACTAATCTCCCATCAGTGAGCTAAAAGCAAGCATCTTGTCTTATACTACTTTACAGTCTCATAGAGTCTTACACTTTGAATTTAGTGATTACTAAAGAAATACTACTTCTTAATTAAATTATTACAGAGGTAATCACATATAGTTAAGGAGTTTCTTATATTCATGGCTTTTTCTTTTTAAATAGCTGTTCTCTAAATCCTAAGCTGCTATTGGAACCCAGGGTAAGTTTCCGTTATGTACTGTATGAATGAAATTTCTTTGCAGGGTGGTGTATGTTCTATGATTATACATGTGCTAGCCTTATTTTTAGAGGTCAGCTTTTATAATAATGGCATATGTTTTTTGTTGGTATGTAGTAGACATGAAAATTTATTATTTTAAGAAAACATTTTTACAAAATGTGAAACTATTCCAATGCTTGATTATTATAGTTTTCAGAGAATCATGTCCTGAGATTTATTTATTTTCATTGTTACTGTTCTTTAGAGCTTATATCTGTGCGAGATGTCTGCTTATGTTCTGTGTGTCTACTGTTCCAGGACTCACCCAGGAGGGCCTTTTCAGGGTGAATGGCAATAGGAAGGTAGTGGAGCAACTTCGACTGAAGTTCGAGAGTGGCGCGCCCGTGGAGCTTGGGAAAGACGGTGACATCTGCTCCGCAGCCAGTCTGCTGAAGCTCTTCCTGCGGGAGCTGCCCGAGGGCGTGATCACCTCGGCCTTACACCCTCGATTCCTCCAGCTCTTCCAGGGTGAGTGCCCCAAACCCTCTTATGAATTCAGCAATTTTTTTTAGTTAAAACTAAACATTTAAATATGAAATATTTTCATTTTAAATATTTAAACTGGAAATATTAAAATGAGCTTTTAAATATTTGTGATCCCTCCACAACCACTATCTTGCTATTTCACTCTAGTCCCTCATCTTCTACTCTAAAATAATACTAAACTGATTGTGAATACCATTGGTATATGAATGCTTCAATTACACAATATTGAGAAGCCCTTAGTCTTTTGGGCCAAAGAAATTCTTGACTGATTAATGACTGCCATCGGAGTGAGAATAAGACATCAAATTCTATGTAGGAAATATTAAGGAAATTGTCTTTGGTTAGTGGTCTTTGAAACTGAAAGGTCACTACTGCGCTTTCTTTTTCTGATAAACAAAATTGAATCCTAAAGTAATTGTATTTATTCCATGAAGTAAAATTGATTTGTGATTGTAGTACGACTTTAAATTAAGAAACTTCATTTTTAAATGTAAAAATGATAGACTCAATCATTATTGCGTTCTCCCTCCTAAATATAATAAGAATGATTTAACTTTGAAAAACCATTTTATAGTTTTATTGTTTTGTAGTTTTGCCAAGTTAGAGTGGAAAAAAAGGGAAATGTGTTTATAAGAATGTTAGTTATCAGATTAAGAAGGATATTACTTAAAGCCATGCTCCCTTAAAGTGGTTGTGTAACTATTCACATGTAGTGATAAAGTGATGTAGTAAAAAGAAGGCTATGCTATATTCTATTGAAAAATAGTGATAATACATGAAAGCAGAAGTTGCAGAACCATTTTTCTGTCTACAGTGCTTTTAAGCTTTCTATATTAGTAAGTGATGTTTGGTAAGTGACATTTGTTTGAGTCTTGTTCATTGGAAACTGAGCTTTTTTATGCTCACATGTATGAGCATTTCAAGAAGGTAACCATTGCTCCAATTTAAGTGATTCTTACAGGGAATATTTTATCCATGTCATAGGGATGTGAAGCTTTAAGATAAATTTCTGAAAATTAGTTTAAAATAATTGCTACAAAAGCTAGTTGAAGATTTAAAAACTGCTTATTACAAAATATTTAGTAAGCAAATATTTAGTATTACTAAGAATCTTTATTCATATTAGTGTCTTAGTATTTAGATATTGATACTGATGTTAGCATTAATAATAATCATATTTGTGAATACTTGTGAATTTTAAAAGGATTTATCACATTTCCTAGAATAGCTTTTATTTGATAATGAGAATGTACAGGTTTATTAATTTGTTAATGTTAAATTATACTAATACTTGGCTATAATTTGTCTTCTTTGTTAATTATTTTCTCATTCATGACATGTTTCCTTGGGGCCAGAAAATTGATATGCATCATAAAATGCAGTATCGTTCTAAAAGCAAGACTGCTTATGGTCTATAGCAGTCTCTATAGGCTGCTCTATAGGTGTGTGTAATTATTACACAAATAATATTCTGCATGGGGCAAAGAAACTAATTTTTTATTTTATTAGTTATTGTCTCATTTCTTGAAAACCTATGAGGCTAGATCTGAGATGTTTCATAAAGAAATTATTAATGGAGTGCCTACCAGGTATGTAAACTGCTAAGTAGGAAGGACTAAGGTGTCAGACTATATAGCCTTTGCAAAATAAACTTCTCTCTTTAATAAACTGGGTAGAAAATAAAGGGTTACTGTGCTTCTGCTTGTTTATCCTGCGTGCAGTACTCTTACTCTAGAGGGTACACAGTGCAACTGGTCGCCCTAAAGCCGAGTGTCAAGGCACTTTACAGACTCACTAAAAGCAATTATAGTATTCTCACCGCCCCTTTTGTACTGCACATTGATATATATAATAACATTGGTTTGATATAATTTCCTTAATGAAGACTACTCTCCTTTCATATTTCAATCCTCATAATAACATTAGTTTTCCTGATATTTTGTCACAACTCAAGGCTAGATTTCTTTTTTCAAAAATGCTATTATGGACCTTCAAATTATATTCTGTATAAAGAGCAAGCTGTCTCATAATTGAATATACTTAACATTTTTAGATCAAGATCTTATCTTCCATGCCTAATAGGATGGAATTCTGGAGCCTCAACAAAATATTTTTCAGACACTTAAGCTAAACCAAAACTGCCAGCAAGGATGGTCTGGATGCTTCCGGGAACATCAATGGTGTTGTAGACCAGGCTTTCATTTTGTAGATCAACAAGCGCCCTCTCAGTGGAAGAGCACCATTTAGATATTCATTTTTATGGCAAATTATCAGCTTTAGAGTTATCTGGCATATGAATCTCTGATATTATTTTTATTTTTAGTTAGCAAACCAGTATAGCTGCATACCAAGTATTTATCAAAAATTATCTAAAGTATCTAAAGTTGATTTTTGTAAGAAACATTTTGCTTCTGTCAGAGGCCTGGTGTAGACAATTCATATTTAAGAGATCATTTTTTCCTGTGATCATCTTTTCCTGCTTTCATGTTAAACTTATCTCTTATTGCAACAACTCATCTTCCATAATTGAGGTTTTTAATATAATTATCTCAGCTTGGCCATATTCCAAGCCTATGATCCTTTATTCTTAGCTTGGTGGGCCAATAATATATGTTTTTTTTTCTTTTAATAGTCTCAGGTGTGTTATGGGAAGAGATATGGCTTGCAAGCAGTGAAAAGATTTTAGGACAGGACTCATTTAATATTGTGTTAACAAGAAATTCCTTTATGTGAATGTTCTCTGTCTAAAAATCTCCTACAATATAAATGCAAATATATCTATCCCATAACCGAATATGGAAGGACCACCCTGGCAGAGGGCGTTTTTCAGACTGCTGTGAATGGAAACTAATAAATTAGGAAGGAAGCTCTGAGGCAATGTTGAATTAGCACCAGGGAAAACTCCATGGAGACTCCCAGCTTTGACAGGCCCTGAGGCAACTATTTTTCTTTTGTCTTCAGTAATTCAAATCTTTTCTGTCTGTACTTAGGTTGGGGCCTTTACATTTTAAAGTGCTTCAGACTGGCAGACCTAATCTTTTGTCCTGAAAGGAAGAAGGCAGTTCTTTCTAGGAAGCTTCTGTATCTGACTAATTCTCCCTCTGTACGTTCAGGTGAATTTGGAACTTAGCCCAAAGGCCCAGATGCTATTGGCTTGGTAGAATATGAGGTACCCTATGTGGGGGCTTTGTAAACTGTTTATCTCAGGGATCCAGCTGTTTTTTATTAAAGAAAGAAGAGAGATCCTCATGCGGCATCTAGACAACCAGTCAGTTAATACAAATAATGGAAATGAAGAGGGAAAGTTATTCTGGGGCCATAAAGAGTAAAATGAATGCCCGTGTTTAGGAGAGAGAGATTAAGGCTAAAGATGTGAATTTCATAGTCACCTGTGTAGACTCATCAGTCTTCATACTTGGCATTCTGAGCATCATGTACATTTGGACAATGTTGTGGCTGTGAAGAGATGACAATAGCTAATTTTATGTACCTTTCATCATGATTTAAATGCCTATTCTGTGCCAAGATTTTACTTAGATGCTTTATGTATGTACAGTTACTCCTACGAATACAGTTTCCCTTTAACAATGCAGGGATTAGGGGTCCCAACACCCCTGCACGATTGAAAATCCACGTATAGGGTTTGACTTCCCAAAACTTAATGGCTAATAACCTACTGTTGACTGGAAGCCTTACCAACAACATAAACAGTCAATTAACACATATATTGTATTTATATGTATTATGTACCAGATTCTTACAATAAAGTTATTAAGATAGAAGAAAATGTTATTTAAAAATCTTAAAAAAAGAAAATACATTTATAGTATTTACTGAAAATACAAACTGCATATAAGTGGACCCGCACAGTTCAGATATGTGTTGTTCAAGCATCAATTGTATTTCATGAATAAGGAAGGTGAAGCTCAGTGAGGGTAAGTTACTTACCATATAGCAAGCCGGGAACTGCTTTACTGCAAAGCCCACACTTTTCCCATCATATTTTTTGTACCCGTCAGGCTGGCCTGCCATAGCAGAATGCCACTGGCTGGGGGACTTAAACAGCAGAAATTTATTTTTTCACAGTTCTGAAGGCTGGAAGTCCAAGATCAAAGTGCTGGCAGGGTTGATGAGACCTCTCTCCTTGACTTGCAGATGGCACCTTCTCACTGTGCCCTCACATGGCCGTTTCTCTTGCATGTGCTCTCCTGTTGCCTCTTTCCCATCCTCGGGCCCTATCTAAGGAGGCAAACCCTAATTGCCTCTGGAGTGCAGTCACATTCGGGGCAGGTAGGGTTTCAACCTGCGAATTATATAGGAATAAAACTCAGTGCATAACACTGTGCTTTTAAAAATGTATCACAATATGGTAAGTTTATGAGTAAAAATGAATTAGTAAAAAGTCTATAGTGGATGCTATTTAGGTGGTCTTTGGGATAGAAATCATTATTACAGAGTTGATACATTTTTGTCTTGGAAATCTTTCATGGCTAGCATAGCTAAGAGCAAAGAATGATTCTAAAATCTGTGGGAAAATTGTACTGGGGTATGTTTTCTTTACTTGTATATATAAAATTTTATATGTTTTTACTTTATGTTTTAACATTGATTCGCTTTGAGAATGTATTACTTGTAGTGCTAATACTCACTGTTTTGTTTAATAACTAGCAGATATTTTATTTACATAATTTAAAACCTAGCAAATATTTTATTTAGATAATCTCTTTCAATCATTGCCTCTAATGAGATACAGGCAGGATAATCTTCATTTTGAAAAAGAAATTACAACATGTGACCTAGAACATAGGCTTTGGATCCATTCTGACTAGTTTCTAACCTCAGTTTACCAATTGCCAGCTGCCTTAGTAAGGGCAAGTCACTTAGTCTTCTTATGCTTTATGTACTAGCAATCTATTGCTATATAACAATTACTCCAAAATTTAGTTACTTTAGCTACAATAAACATCGAATCTCCCAGTTTC